TTTTGATATTTAAGATACATTTTCTCTACCAGGTGGTGGATAAGTAGAAAAAGGACATTAATATTTCCTTATAGATTCTATCTAATGCTTCTGTTGAATATGTCCCCCAAAAGGAGGCCTGTGGGCTCAAAATATCATAACTCAACTGTTTTTCTCTACTAATCAGTGATGTGTGCCTTGAGAAATGTGATGTGTTCCTTAAAGGAATGTTGTACCTTAACCAAGGCCAGTTCCTGCAACATAGTTATCTCCCCTATTGTGCTGTGCTGGGAAGAGCTGCTGAGGGAGTTGTGCACTGAGAACACAACGAGCCAATGGTTGTATGCATGAGATCACCAACTGTCCTTGGATGTATTTGTGTGACTAATAAATATGAGAGGTGCCCTCTCAGCACCACTCTTGAGCTGATATGCCTTGAGTCCCCGGGCTGGCCTACTCAGGTCTTCGATATCTCTTCGCGTCACCTCCGCTGTCTGGGGGTCGGAGATGGGGCGGAGGCCGACAGCGGCCTCTGAAGGATGAGCTTCTAAGTTTAACTGTATGTGGGAAACACAGATACAGATGCAATAAAAGCTCACTAATAAAATTTTGGTCACGTTCAAATACTTCAAAAATGGGTTTGGGGATAATTTTGTGTCCACTCTTTAATCACTACCTACCTTTAACCACTTTAGTGGTCCCAAGAGGCTAGCGTGTGGATGATGGCAATGACTACATTGCAAACCACAGATGAAAAAGCCATCATCAATGGCTTTGAGGACATAAAGCCTCAGTCCACCAATCTGATGTCAGTGTGTCGGAATAGGAATCATCAGGCTACAGGGACTGGCTTTTAAAAAACAAGGAGTCAGTGAAATCTGCTGCCAGGGATGGACATATATGCTAATAGGCTTTTTTTGGGAATAAAGTTCCTATAAATCCCCGACTGTTGGAGTTGTTTTCAGTATTTCAAACTTATTTTTTAAAACAAAAATGTGTGGAAAGAGGAGGGCCCCCTGCAGAAGCGGGTAGGGTCTATATCTAGAGTTCTCATAAGGCATGGCCTGCCGGGATTGGTCATGAAAGGGTTGCCTTATGTTTCCACGCCAGGAGAGGGTCGGTTGAGAAGTGAGAACCTGGAATGAGGGAGAGAGGGGAAGCAGGATGGGGAACAGGAATCTGGCCAAACGGAAGTCTTGTTTGTAAACTGGGGAGGAAAGGGTTCCCTTAAGTTTGCATGTAATATTCAACTGGTGGATTCATATAACATCTTGACTTAATAAAGAGACTAGCAAAAGGAAACGAAGAGAAAAATGAAAGAAGAAATCCGCAGCAAGAATTAAAAAGTACCCTCCTCCCACCACCCCCTGCCTTAGGCGTTTTTCCTGTGTGCCTCAGAGCTTACCCCCCTGAAACTCATCAATTTTTGCTTTTATGCTGAAAATGCCTGAAAACATTTGAAGTTTCACAGCCACCCCTTGGGGTGAGGTTTCACAATGCCCAAAGAGCCCCCATGTGTCCCCAGGGAAGGCCGGGGCCCTGCGGTAGGGGAGAGAGGCAAGTTTCACAGCCACCCCTTGGGCTGAGGTTTCACAATGCCCACAGAGCCCCCATGTGTCCCCAGGGAAGGCCGGGGCCCTGCGGTAGGGGAGAGAGGCGCTCTGTCTTATCCCAGTCAGGGGATCCAGTGCACTTCTCCCTGCCAGCCCCCAACAAAGGGCAGAAGCTCAAAGCTCCTGCCCCAGTGTGTGACCTCCGGGCCCACAGCAGAACAGTTTCTCTCTGGGTCCTAGTGACAGTAGCTCTCAGGCCCTGCAACTGTGGTTTAGGATGTGACTAGAGCCTTTGATGGAATTACCATTGCCATCTAGTTCTCTGTGCAGCCATTTATTATTCTGTATATTTTCGAGAGCTGTGGGAAACTTTCATAACCAAGCCCAAGCCAGGCGAAAACTTGTTCTATTTGGAATTTGTAATGAAGTCAAAGCATGGCCTGGATTTTCTGAAAGGCTCCTTCCTGCCTTGCTACAGCCTCAGGGCACAATCAGACAGGGAAGGAGAAGGCCTGGGAGCAGATTTTATTACCCAGAATAGGACAGAACAATATTTGCCTCCCCATCATAGGCAGTTGTTTACCATCTCAGCTGGAAGAAGTGGGAAATAAATGCATATTTCACATAAAGTGCAAATACTGATCCTTTCATTTCTAATTTTCAGATTTTTTTTTCTTAACTCCCTCTAAACAAAAGGCTAGGGAGCTTTTTTTTTTCCTTTTTAACATATTTGATTTCCTGACCTAAAGGAAGAAATTCCTTATTTCAGAAGGTTTGACCCCCAAGGAGTTTTTACTTTCCGAAATGAAACTATGAATACAAATTGTAAGACATGTAAAGCGGTGTGGGTTTTGAGAATGCTTTCTTTTATGGACTTGCATGTTGGTGTGTGTGGGATTGCAGGGGAAGACAGTGAAAAACCAAGTCTCACTCTAGATGGAAAACTTCCCTTACTTTTCAGAGGTGCTCGCAAATTATTTACTGGCTTAAACCTGATCCTTCCCCAGGAGCCTCAGTTCCTAACAAAAGTGGTAAATGGTACGATGTAGTTAGTTCTTTATTTTTATTTAAGTCAAAGGTTAATAATAAAGGGGGTTTGTTCCCTCACTGTTGCAAGTTAATGTTTATTTTTCACCATCGTTTAAAGAATTTCCTGAGGCCCTTATTTCACTGCTGAAAGTGGAGTAAGAGAACTCAGATTTCATGCCCCAGGGCTTGAACAAAGGAATAAAAACAGCACAACATTTGCATCTATTTAACAGGCTCAGTTCTAAGAGCCCTCTCACAGTAAGAGGGGAATCCATATCTCCAGGTTAAATGAAGCTATGCTGAGATATTTGCCGAAAACACAATTCAGAGAAAGATTATCGTTGTCAGAAATGACCTAGGAATTCAAGGCCTTATGATTGGGAACACAAAGCTCAGCAAGGTGCATTCTCTTGCCACCCTGCCTGCCCAGATATCTATGAGCATCAGCTAAAGGTGGCTGAAGAACCAATTTCAGGCATCTACTGTACGTGGAAATGAACTGAGCCAAGGGCAAAAATAAAATTATACAAATGTTATTATAGACTAGCCAGCTTCTGTCCTAGTTTAATTCAAATTTTAGTGCTGCAGGCTTTGCTTCTGGCAGTAGTCTTCCTGAATAAATCAACATTTGCTTACATCTAAATTATTAGGGGAGCATGTGACTGTTTATTGTATAAATTATACGCTAGGTTAAAGCATTAACTGTTCAGCTGGTTTTGTTCAGTCACCTCGCCAACTCTCCCCCAAATCTTCTCTCCCCAAAATAAGAAATAAAAACTTGAAATTACTAATTTTTTTTAGACACCCCAAATAACAAAGCTGCAAAGCACTGTGGCCCTGGGATGGTGCGCAGGAGCCCTGCTAAAAGTAAGGTGGGGGACAGTCTTAGTGTTTGGAGACAAGGAGGAAGGAGCGAGGGCCCAGGCACTGGTTCCTGTGAGCTCTGTGGTGCTGTCTGCACTAAGTGAAACGCGGGTCTGATAAATGGTCAGTTCAGTTGGTTAAGGCAGCCAACCAAATGGGATAATTTAATACAAAACTAAGGACAGCCTTCTGGCAAGGATTTCAGTAGGCAAGGAAGTTCAAACTACACGGCAATGCTGGACCCAGATATTTTTATTGCCTTTAACTATGAAAAAAGGCAGTTAGATATGGATCCTCTAGAAAATACACCTACAAACAATTTTTTTTTGTCTTTGCACGTCATCATGAGTGACTCCTGAAAGCCCACCCATACATGTCTGAGAAATAAGGATGGGGTTTTGATAACTAGACAATTTGACTTTCTAAGTATTTATACAAACCAAGTATCAGGTGTGCTCTGCTATGAGAACATGCAATTAAAAAAATATATCAAGGGTTCAAGGTAGATCAATCAGAGACCATGACTTGCTTTACAAAAGGTTCTTTTTATAAGACCACCCACAGCAGGCTTCTTTTAATCTTTGGCCTTTTCCATGATAATAAGTAAATTCACAAAATTATAAATAGAATTTAATTGAAAAGATTGAATTTCATTTTTTCCAAGAATATTTTTATAGATATGTGTGTGTGTATGCATTTATTTTCTTTCTCAAAATTCTTTCTGGAAACAGTGTAGGTCAGAATATTTTTGTGCAGAATGATCTCTTCAATAAATTATTTGATCTAAGTGGGCTCAAGAGGAGAATCAAGCTCCCATTCAACCACCCCTGGTCCTTTCTGCGGGCCCAGCTGGGCTTGGAGGTCCTCCAGAGCCGCCTGAGTGGAGAGCTGGAGATCTGGAAACTGCCCTGAAACCAGCTTCCACATGATTGGCATGTGCGGGAACTAACATTTGAGAACTTTTGCAGGGTCTAACAAGGAAGCAAACTCCATAGTTCTATTTATTCTTTACTCTCTACTTCATGTGCTTTGCAGCCTCCTCTGTTCATGGTGCTCTGGAGTCCAGCCCAAACTGAAATGGGCTCTCTACCAAAAAGGCCTTCTAATCCCTGTCCTGCTTTTTTTTGGCCAAGGGAGGGAACCTTGGGAGGCTGCCCGTTGACTCCATGGCATAAATCTGGACTTGTAGTGAGACAGTGCACTGACAAAAGATCATCACACACAGCTACACTGCTGTTTGAAATAACTTATCAAATGCAAAAGCAAGTTGCTTCCCACCTGACTGGTATTTTTAAGGAACAGCTTTTTAATAGCAGGTATCAGAGTGGAGGAAGCATAAGCTTCGGAAATAGAGAACCCTGGTGTCAAGCCCATTTCATTGTTCCCCTTTGGAGAATGTTTGGCAAAAACTTGAATGTCTCTGAGCTCTGTTTCCTTGTCTGTGATGTGGGAATAATAGTAAATATGCTGGGTTTGAGAGAAAAAGAAGTAATACGCAAGGAGTGTTTGGGATATGGAAGATGCTCGATAGTGATAATTACTATCACTATTTACAAATAGCTGTCTACTCCACAGATAGTACATAAAACTTTAAACCTGAATGTTGCTGGGACGTTGCTGCTGAGGAAACGTGGGGCTGCTCCTGGTGGGCACAGCTGGGTTGCCCCAAACCTGAGAACTGCTCACTGCCTGCCCGACCCAGAGCCTATCAGCCTCTCCCGGAGCTGCTTGCAGGAGCAGACAGAGAGAAAGTCCTCTCAGGAACTGAGAGCGAAGCCGTTGCAGGTAACCGCTAGAGCTGGTATTTCCACAGACACTGTGTTGCCAGCAAATTTACCTTGAAATGCATGTGATGAAGACTTTGTCCCTGAAATGCAGCTTTGGGCCACTGGAGTCAGAGGAGCTAGTAATTCTCTAGTGTTAGAATAAATATTTTCATAAAAGATGCAATGGAGTAAGGGACAAAAACAGTCTCCACAGGTGAAACAGACTTCAGATGACCACTGAGAATAGAACTTCTGGAAAGGCATGAAAGTCCTGGCTGAGGGTCTCACTAGTTCCCCACCCGAGCACCGAAAATGACAGGAACAATAATGAGGACAAAAACGATTTTCTACTGGCCTTATCTGGCAGGGAAAGTCATGGTACGCCCCCACAGAATGGTATCTTAAGTTTTATTCCTATATATTTTCAGTGTGTTATATAATTTCATTATCATTGCACGCCTGTGAAGTTGGTCTTATTCTTAGCCTCATGGTCCTGGGAATATCTTGGGAAGTGGTTAGATCCTGAGTCATGGAAAATACTAACTGAATCCCACATTGCATGTGAAATAGGTCTCCACAGAGTTTTGCTTTTTGTCCAGGGCGCACCCACTAGAGTTAAGGTAAAATGATACCCCAGTTCCCTTGGAAAACCACACACTCTCAGGCTACGTCGTTTAAAAGGCAATACATCTATCCCCAGCCTGAGGGGTGGGTGCTGATTGGCGGAAGCGATCCATATCCTACATTTGTGCAGTGATTGTCCACTCACTGGTCCTGTGACCCAATCAGAGCCGTGCACACTGAGACTGTCGCTCTTTCCCGAGGGGCTTGCCCTTGGGAGTGTGCGGGCTGGTGCTGCTGTGGCCGTCTTGCTGTCACATGGAGACCAGAAATGAGACCACCAAGTGGAGGGATGCAGAGCCCACCTGGGAGATGGGTGGAAAATGGGTCTCGGTGATGCCAGTGGAGACCAAATCGAACCATCCCTAAAGAGAGTCCTGTTCTAGACCTAAGCAAGCCCATGAGCTCCCTTATGGTTAAGGCCAGTTTGGGAAGGGTTATTTTCTTCATTTTCCACATGGGAGAGTCCTACCTGAGGAAGGATCTCTTGCCACTACTCTATGCCATGGGGTGTCACATATTAGGTGGCTAGGATGGAAAACGAAGACAAAATGGAAAACTGGCAAGCTAGGCCATTTTATACTCGGAGAAAATATAAAGATAGTCTCCCAACAGAGAGCACTACCTGTGGAGGATGCTGGTTACCTGCTCTGATATTTGTTCCTCCTTCTTAAACTTTGAAAACTGGGTACATGACCAATTTTTAAAAAATTACTTTGTCAGACACCTTTGTGACTTAATTGGTCATGTGACTAAACTTTGACTGAAGGGATTTAAGTGGCTCCTCCACTGTCATTTTCTTAAAGAAAGCTGGCATGTGTCCTTTGCCTTTTCTTCTTTGTCCTTTCCTTCATCCTGCTGCTTAAAATATGAGAGTAATAGCTGATACTCCAACCACCTTTTTGTACCATGAGTCCAGGATGCTATCTTGGAAATGGGAGAGCTATGAGCTGAAGAAAGCCTGGATCCCTGAGTACTTCAGGCAGCAAATCATTTTACACTCCTGGCTTGAGTATACCTGAGTTTTACTTGAGAAAGAGATAAGCCTCTTGTTAAGTCATTGTTATTTTGAGTTTTTTGTTAATGTCAAGTCGAATCTTATTACTTCTTGATGGCAGCCCTAAGAATGAGTTTTACAATAAATTATTTTCTCACTCTCTCTCTTTTTGACTATACTGAAACCGAAAGTGGGTTCAGTTAAGGTATGCAAAGTCCATAGGACATTGATAAAGTCTTTCAATATATGTTATATAAATAATTACAGCAGTGTAAGCCAAATGGTTCCTTTCTTCCTAGATGCACAGTGCTATGCAAGGCCAAAGGGATTTGTCAATGATAAAGGTGTGAATGTAACGTACGAAGTTAATTTAGAGTCACAGGCCAGTTAAATCACATGTTTGAAGATGAAATTGGGGGACATTTTTGGGGAGGAATGAAAAGTAAGATATTTTGCCTATTACAGTTTGGATAAATGCTGTGTATAATGTTAAAAACACTGCCTGAGAGTCCCTGTCTCACAATAGCTATGATTCAGATTCTGCAGGTGTTAGTTACGGCTGAAATTAAAGTACGTGGGAAGCAAGGGATTCAATTCACTTTGCCTCACAGAGGTACTTCACATTGCTGGGTGAATTTGGAAGAAAGCAAGTATTTTTCAGGTTTAAAGCTGGACGCTTAATGAATGTCATATCATCTATGAAGAAATCTGAAATAGCTCTTTTTTAGTAATTTCTTTATAGTAGGTGAATAAACTGCTCATTCCCACGTTTGAAAACATTGAGACAGAAAAGAAACCCTAACGGAAGTCTGTTGGGGTGGTGGTGGTGGTGGAAATTGGAACCAGTACCCATAACCCTTTAGCTTGGTGACACCCATCCACCCACACGTTCATGTGTGGGAGTTAGTGGTGGATATGATGTGCCTGGTTGGGGAGTATCATTTCCAAGATGTCCTAGAATTCCTGGAAGAAATAAGCGTTCTGTCAGGTGTGAGGAATGCAGAGAAATAAGAGAAAAACAAGATAATATAGGTGTAACAAACAGCCCTACTACCCCAGATTTACACAATAGTCATCTACTTAGCATGTGATTGTGGGAGCTGGCAGTTCGGACTGGGCTCAGTTCTGGTCTGGTGTTTCTCATATGCTGTTGTAACCCCAGGGTTGACTAGGTGGGTCTTCTGGGGGCTGTTGGCTGTCAGTTGGAGCAACTTGAGGCTCCTGAACATGGTCTCTCATCCTATGGAAGGCTAGCGTGAGCTTGGTGCCACAGCAATGGCTGATGTTTAAGAGAAAGTGGAAACAATGAGGGCTCTGAGGATTTCTTTTGGTCCCGTCTTTGGTTACTTCCACTGCATGCTTTGGGCCTGATGAAATGCCAAGGCTAGCCCTCTGGATGAGAGGGGCTGCCAAGCCACATTCAGAGGGCATGGTTCCAGGGATGGGGGAAGTGTGGCTACTTTTCAATCATTTAACCAGAATGGATGCTATTGGGAAGCTGAGGGAAGATAGGCTTGATTTGTTGTTGAACAAGTGAGCCGAGAAGTAGGAAGAAATGAAAAAGGTTACAAGCAAGGGATAAGGCAGGGCATCAAAGAGCAACGAGTGGTTAAAGTGTGATACAAAAAGCAATAGGGAACCCCAGAAGACCCTTAAGCAAGACAGAGGTGTAGATGAAGCAGAGGGCACATATTAACATCCACAGAGTTAGAGGGACTTCTGGCTGAGGTCTTACCAAGATGAGTAGAGCGTTTGTATCTCTGGGTTTCTGAGTTAATGATGCCAGCAGTCTCTGGACCAGCCAAATTGTGGTGGATTTATTATTTACACTACAACTGCGTTTAAAAATGAAAACATATGTCTACATTTTCAATGCCTTGAAAATGCCATTGCACATGCTGTAGAATTTTATTTCCAGTAACAGGATGCAATTTCCCTATCAAATAAAATTGCTGTTTGTTTTCTGTACTCCATATTATTATGGAAATTTCAGTTTATCAGCTACAGTGAAGTCGGCTGAAATGAGTAGGCCACTTATATGAGCTATGTTTTCCCACCCCACCCAAATCTTGGTTCCCTTTCTATTTATGCTGATATTGTTTTATGCTGATAATGCAATTTGTGTTTTGTTTTGATGCAATACAACTTGGTTCATCAGAGAAAGGCAAATGTTTTTAAAACTCTTTGGTGGAATTGATAGTATATTGAAATAACTCTAGTAAGGGAACATCTTTGTGGCATCCTAGTCTCATTTATTCCTCCTGCCTCTGTTGATAATGCATTGCTAAAATCTGCCAATGAGGAGCTGCTTAGGGCCCAGTTAATTTTGCTGACTTCTGCAAAGTATGCCTGATTTTGTTCCTCATGACCATTAAAAATAATAACTTACGGTACAACTGGGCAATTCTGTGACCAACCCCTTCTTCCAATTTACAGTGCTCCTTTTTCTTCTTTTTTTTTTATTGCAGTCTTGACGATAGCAAGTACCCAAATCCTGTTAGCAAATAATGAGATTTCTGAGCTTGGGTTCTGGGCTAACTATGTTACAGGGTGTGTGTGTCACTAGCTATGAGAGGAAGCTAATAGTTGCATATGTTGAAAAATATACAGTGTTTGAGTCTGGTAGTTGCTATTTTCTCTAAAAGTGGTCTTCAAGCCTTGTCCCCATTTTCTCCTCCTTTGTTATCTGGGGCTTGGTTGATTGTGGACTTTGAGTGGGAGGGAGGATAGAACTGGCTGGCAAGGGACAGAAATATGGCAGGAGGGACCATCCCTGTAGATTAGGGGCCTTCAGGATGGTTATTTACCCCACACGTCTGAGAGCGTTTATAGGGAAATCATCAGAATATATTCACATGCATAAAATAACATTAAAAGACTAAGTGAATATAAGTCTTTGCTATAAAACCACGTCAATTAATCCTCGTGACTAAGATCATGAACACTGAGGTTAATTTTCATCTCTTTTTAGCTGCATGCCTGCAAGCAAATATCTGAAATCTTGGTCAGTCCCAGTCTGATAATGTCTCATAAGATTGCAGCAAAAATTAAGTTAGATGACGTACGTAGGGCCCTGCACTTGGCACAAAGTATGTGCTCGGCGTTGGTGGGCGTCACCGTCACCACTGTCAGCAGCGTTGTCCTCATAACCAGCCTCCTCCTGTCCTTTTCCTTACCCTGACCCTCAAGGCCAGAGTGCACCAGGCAGGCTTCACCCCTTCTGTGATGCTGACTATTAGGTACTGAGTACACAGCAGGCCTTCAACAAGTTCTTGAGAAACAAGAGAATGATTCCACCAATAACATTATAGTACAGTGGGGTGTGTGGGGGTGCACATGTGTGTCTCCTTGAAATGAGGATTAACCCCAATAGACTGATAAATGCTTTTGATGACCCACAC